TTTTTTTTTTTTTTTTTTTCTCCTTTTCTTGACGCTGCCCTCGATGCTACGCCTGGGTTTGCCTGCTGCTTGCTGTCTGTTGCCCTTCTCCGACGATTACTACTACTACTGCTACTACTACTTTCGGGCCTCGGTGCCGTTGGCGTCTCTGTGGGTCTTCTTTTCTAACCGTTTCTCTAACCCTTCTTCTAACTCTTCTTCTTCTTCTTCTTCTTCTTCTTCTTCTTGCATTCCGTCTCATTCGCTTCCGTTCGCTACCTACTACGACTCATGTCGTGTGCTGTTGCGGACAACGCCGTTGCTCAGTGCTTGGACATCTGTGCCCGGATGTGTTGTTGCTGTATTTGCTGTCTGCTTGATAGCTAGTGCAGACTGCAGAGCTAACCACTGCGCCCTACCTAGCTAGCTAGCCCTGCCGCTTAAATGGAGCCCTTCCCCAGTGGCGGTGACGCTAACAACAACAACAACAACAACAACAACAACAACAACAACAACAACAACGACACCACCACCACCGCCTCCTCCGGCCATCACCACCACAACTACCACGATGCCAGTGTCCAGCACCTCCCCATCCCGCAAACCGTCACCGGCTCCGGCGCCAACGTAGCGCGCCGCCTCGACTGGGCGCGCATCATCCAAGCCAGCTTCCGCGACATCCACTACGTGCTCGCGCCGAACACGCGCATCCTGCACGTCACGCCCAGCAGCGCGGGGCTCGTGGGATTCAGCCCCGCCGAGCTCGTCGGCCTGCTGCTGAGCGAGCTCGTCCATCCTGATGACGCGCAGCTCTTTGCGCGTGAGCTTGCCGAGGCGAGGCAGCAGTGCGCCCAGCAGCACTACCAGCAACACCAGCGGCAGCAGAGCTTCCGCTTCTTCGTGCGCTTGCAACTGCGCCTTAGCCATGACGACGACGGCGTAGCCACCGCCTTCGACCCAGCATACCCCTACCAACAGCTCCCCGTTGTGTCTGCCGCCATAAAAGAATCACACTACGCCGTCTTCGAAGCCTGCGGGCACTACCAGCCGCCCGCCCCCCTCGCCGCAGGCAGCCTCGTAGCAGGGACGCTTCTCCCCCCCTCCCTCACAACAACACCCCCCTCAGTCTCACCCACGGCGTTCGTCGCCGCCCGCGCCGGCGGGCTCTTCTTCCTCGTCGCGCGCCCGTACCCCTCGCGCCAGGGCCGCCTGCTCGACGATTTCTTGGGCCTGCAGATCGAGCATGCGCAGCTGCGGCGGCAGCGCGCGGAGCTGGTGCAAGAGGAGGAGGGGGATGGGGATGGGGACGGGGCTGGGGTTGATGTCAGTGCGCGAGTGGGTGCTGATGCTGATGCTGATGCTGCGCTGTCCCCGCTGCGCGCTGCTGGCATCGTGGGCGCGGGCGCGGGCGCGGGCGCCGCCTCCGCCTCCCTAAGCCCGCCGCCCTCGCTCTCAAGCGGCACCACGGCGGCGAGCTCTGGCGCCGGGCACTCGACGCCGCGCAGCATTGCTAGCGGCAGCATTGCTGGCAGCAGCGGAACAGGAACAGCAACAGCAACAGCAACAGTAAAAGCAGGCACAGCAGCAGGGCCAGCGTCAGGGTCCGACAAAGTCGTCATCCGCGCCGGCGACGTGGGCATCCCGTTCGTGGTCAAGAAGGCGGCGGGCGCGGGGCGCAAGCGCGCGAGACTGGCGGAGGAGTATGTCTGCGTTTGGTGCAATACGACGGATGCGCCGGAGTGGAGGCGCGGGCCGGGCGGGCCGAAGACGCTGTGTAATGCTTGTGGGTGTGAGTGCTTTGTTCTTTGCCCCCCCCCCCCTTTCTTTCCTTGTTTTCCCGATACGCACGCACGCAAGGCTTGACATAGTCCTTACAAGCTGATGTTACTGCAGTGCGCTGGGCCAAGGCTAGGAAACGCTCAGCTAATGGCCGGAACCGCGACAACGAGGACGAGGACGACGATGATGGTGGTGGTTGGGGCGGAGGCGCAGCTAGCAAAGGCACAGCCGGAGCGGGAATCCGTCGTGCAAGCGGAGCTGGCGTCGGCGCTGGCGTCGGCGCTGGAGCGCTTGCCAGTGGTGGCAGTGGAGGCTGGGGCGGTGCGGGCGGGGACGGGGCTTGGGGTGCTGCGGGCGCGGGCACAGGTGCAAGCGCAAACGGACTTGCTAGCGAACTTGGTGGCGGAAGTGTGGGCAGCGAAGGTATGGCTATGGGCGTGGCTATGGGAGGCGGAGGTGCATAGCTGCGCGTTATCGCGCCCGCGCCTGCGCCTGCGCCTGCGGGCCAGTTGGCAACGCCGGTGCCGGGGATTCTGCTCGCGCCTGCTTCTGCTGCTGCTGCTGGCGGTGGTGGTGTTGGTGTTGGTGTAGGGGGAGGAGGTGCAAGTGTTGGAGGTGCTGCAGGTGTGAGTGTGGGTAACGGTGCGAAGAAGGGCGGCAAGAGCGTTAGGGTTGTTGCGTAGTGCGTAATGCGAGAGGGAGAGGGAGAGGGAGAGGGAGAGGGAGAGAGAGAGAGAGAGAGAGAGAGAGCGCGTCTCTAAGAGAAAGGGAGGATGGGAGGAGCGGCGGCAGAGAGGCAGGCATACCTAACAGACACTGACACTGACACTGACTGACTGACTGACTGACTGACCAACTAACTGATACTGACACTAACACTACTAACGCTAACTAGCACTGACTGAAACCAGCACCTACACCAACACCAATACTAACACTACTAACGGCAAGCACCAAACGGCAAACGAACGAACGAACGAACGAAGAGGTGTTACCAACTCCTCCCACCAACCAACCAAACAACCAAACCACCCACAACGACACGACAGAACGACAGAACGACAGAACGAGAGACAAGGCCCTGCACCCACCCACCGAGCCAACAAAGCCATCTACATATATACACAGCAGCAGACGCGTCAGGCACGCCAGCGACACCGGCAGAGCAACCATCACGAACGCACTCACACCTATCACCAAAGCGACGGGTATCGGGGCCGAGGACACAGGTGCCTACCTACAGCTGTAGGGACGCGCATCTATGTCGAGAAGAAGGAAGGCGTGCGGCGGGAAAGTACCGGAAACGTAAGGAAAGGTCCGAGAGAGAAAAAAA